TTAGTTGCCTAATTATCGCTCGATGAATCATTCTCTTTATATATATAATTACTTGGTTATCGGCACTGTTATAATAATATACCTAATCCTAAAACTGTAGATATGTAATGATGTGACTGCCTAATCTATAAGATCTCACGTGGAGGTTACATCATTGTCTACACTGGCTCATCGTATCGTTGTATCGTGGTGTCGAGTCGGGATTAACTATGAACACAGCTACCAAGAAACACGTGCCAAGTAAATCAGCAGGCGAAGGTTGAACGTAACCAAATAGATCCATAAAATCTCCGAGAAGCCAAATACCAGAAGGCAAGTAATGGACCAAGTCGAGTTATATTTGCTGGCGATCTCGTGGCATCGGGAGGATACCGAGATGGTGCCAGGATACAAGCTTGGTTACAGAAGGTAACCAAATTCGTGCGAAGTTACAATCGAAGTGTAAGTAAAAGAATGGAAGCACAAAATAGCTGTCATTAGCACAGTCAAACAAAAGCACATTAAAACAAACACTGGTACAGTAGGTTATAATAATAATTGTTTCTATTAAGCCAGTCGTGTTCTCGTGATAAATGGTGAGTCACTACAGGTAAATCCTTTGAGCAATCAGTATTCTTTCAAACCGATGGCAAGCTGATTACTTTTAGATATATAGTTAGACTGCAGATACCAGGTCAATATCATAATAATATTCCAAAAAAGGCTGCAATTAAACGCAACTCAATTTCGTAAATGTGCCCTTCAGCTTAGCAACCAATCAGAATGAGGCGGGAATTATTACATCCGCCATCTTTGTAACCAATGGCGGTCGGCTTTCTTCGTTCTGTGCTTCTTTCAGCTATTTCTTTTGTGTAGCTATGTAATTTAATGTCTCAGTGTGCTAAAATGCTGCAGTTAGTGTAATGTTCTATATGTTGGTGTGAAGTTTATTTCGAATCAGCGATGTTTGCTGGGTTTTTGCTGCTTCTACTCAAGTCAATGTATTTCTTCAGGCAATCTGGCTAGTCTTGTGTTATAAAATGTCTGCCGGCTTTCTTCGTTCTGTGTTTTTCCGCTATTTCTTTTGTGCAGCTACAGAATTTGATGTTTCAGTGTGCTGAAATCTAGAAGTTAGTGTAATACTCTGAACTTTCATTAGGAATCGAATATCAAACAAAGGTTTAAACCATGTTCCCGTTTAAAAGTTGTATTGGTAATGTTAAGTTGCAGTTTTTGTTGTTTTTTTCCAAACGAAAGAGTAAAAGAAGTCAAAAAATACTGGAAGTGGTTGTTAGACTAAAATGGACGTCCAGCATCCTTTTTATAGTCTGCTGTTCGTTGGATCTCCCGTAAACAGTTCCATAGGGCCATAGTTCTAAGGGCGAAACAGTTTTTATGATCTGCGAAGACTCACTCTTGTGGCATTCTAAATGAAAAAATGGTGATGAATTTAGTCAGAAATTTGGAATATATAAATAACCAAATCACATGTTTTTTAGCAAAGAATTTATGCAGTTGTGATTTACCTTGAGTTCATCAATATTAGATAAGTTCAGCTACTATTACTTGCGAAAAGCATAACATGGGCTTAGTACCGTATTGCAACGCTGTTATTATTTTGCTCCCATTTAAGTATTCCTATGCATCTGAGTCTAGTTTAACAGGAAAACATACATGCAGAGTAAGTGTCTGATAAACTAAAAGTCCCAGTTGTCAAAAAGATTCTTAACATTTGTCCACAGCCAGCTGCATTTAATTGAGACACAGAAACCTCATCTTCTAAGACTGTATACTGCTCTTCTGCAGGCAACTAAAAGCTCAGACACTTAGCTATCTTGCTACCGATGTTATTGCTGGGGAAATTGATTAATGACAGTGATCATGAAATATGGTCAGCGACAGATGTACAGTTTAGAAATAAACACCAAACATACTTATCGCTATCTTATAATGTATGACAGCAACAGTATCAAAGGCACGTTTTTTCCTATTTTTAATCAGACTGATCTGAATCCGTATACACATTAGAAACAGGCAACTCTACTTACTAAACTGATCTGTTTCGTTACAGGCTTCAAGCACTATACTTAAGTATATCATAATTCTTTCAACTAAACTGAATTATACGACAACCAAGAACACTAAACTAAGCAAGTGTCATAGTTATTGTTTCATTTGCAAAGACATGTTGCTCAAAGTAGTTAAGTGGACATAATTAAGCCCATAAAACCCAAACACGAAATATAGGCCAGTTGAACTTACCTAAGACAAAAAGAAGGATACATATATACTGCTTTCATACTGAAGACAACAGGCAGTTGTTCATAGAAACATAGTTTACAGTACAACAAACCTTTCTTCAGTAAAATCATACACTGACAGTCTATCTGGAAACAATCAACTATGTGAATAAACTCACTATGTCTTGAGATATCATCCCAGCGTGCAATGGACGTACCGTGTAACGCAGCCGGACGTGGCGAATAAAAATTAAAAACAGCAAAATTAACTACATATTCTAGTTGTTTAATTGAAAATACATTATGAAATGACAAAATCTGTGGTTACTTGAACGCACAAATGACAGTGTGCGATACATTAAGTTTATATGGTTGCGTTGCGGATAAGATCAGTCCCAAAAAATCGACTATTGGACACTCTAGTCATATCCAGTCTATTAAAATTGTTCTCCTAGTTCTATTTAATACATGAATACATTATTATTTGTGGAAAGATTACATGAATTCCCTTGTTCGTGATTTTACAGGAAAATAAACAATCAGGAATTGATCATGGCTGTTGTCGAATTTCATCACAGTTCGTTTTACCACTAGCAGACACATAGTCTTAACAATAAAACTAGGTACAACACTGACACAAATTTATCAAAGTACGGTAAGATAACTCTGAAGTTCACTAGCTCTCACAAAATCAGCAAGGCTTAGCGTTAGTTTTGTACAGTTTAGTGGTGAATAATTGGTACTAAAACAGTACAATTATATATGTTTTGTGTGCCTTAACGCGGTTTAAGAATACAATACAACCCCAAAACGACTTTTTAAAATTTGACTCATTTGTTTACCTAGCATTTAGTTCTAGCAGTTGCGCTGATGTCCTTTGAAAAGAAAATCGGTTTGCGAGTTCATGACAATGAATTTGATTTCACCTACTAACAACTGCACGTTTAAGAGTAGTAAAGCTATCTCAATATTATACCTCGGCGTAACCAGAATAGGGCTTTCACAGAAGTACATTAAGCTTCATTTCATAAGAATATATCTGGGTATACCAACGTCTCAACTATTAATAAAGTTCTATAACATATACGACATGAAACTTACAAGACTGTTGTTTACCATCTGTTTAAAAAGAACTGGAACCTTCAAACCACGGTTATCAAGTCTGAGAAAAAAAATATTTACATTTTGAAGGACAACTTATTGAATGATTGACCTTACAAACTTGATTGTACTTGTTAAGCACAGTATCACAAGCCCATTTAACAGGGACTCTCATTCAAAACAGATAAGTCTCCAAGTAACTGCTAAACTGATTATGACGGCCGAAAATGAGCATTTGAACTTGGCGTGCTGTATGTTTATAAATGCATAGACCCATTTAACAATGCAATGTTGAGAACTTAAATAATTCCGTTTTTTACAAATTTATAGTAGCCCGAAGCTCTTGAATTTATTATTAAGGCTTCTGACAGAGCTTCATATAAGGGAGTTATGTAAACTCATTAAGCGGATGTTTAGCTTATTTCTTGGGATGTATTTCGAAATTTACACTTAAAAGCTACTGCACCCCGCATCCCTTGGACTACACCGAAGTGTCCAAGAAACTCTTCAGCACTATGGGGAGAAACTAATGCTTCACTATTGATAGAGGACGACTATGGTAAAGTGTAAGTAATGTTAAACTACTTTAGCAATGTATATACCGTGGAAACACCCTTCCCGTCAGTCCCCCCCCACAAACTGGACAACGTGACCATTGAACAACTCGATTCCTTTGATCCATAGATTGGGTGAATCCATAAGACCTGACGAACTGCATCTCAGATTGCTAGGAGAACTAGCTAACTTCGTTGCTGTTTAAGTATCTCGATGACAACCGGATTCTTTCGAAAATGCAGCATAGCTTTAGAATAGGTCATTCCTGTCTCACTAAATTATTAGTGGTTCGTGAAACCTGGTGCGCTCTTAAAGACCAAAAGCTACCTATAGACGTAGCCCACATTGAGTTTGGCAAAGCTTTTGACAAAGTTCCTCACAACCGGCTGTTATATAAGTTAAGAAATGTCGAGGTTGGGCGCCAACGAAAAGTACGAGTGAACTCCGAATTGTTTAGATGGAAAACTGTGCTTAGCGGAGGGCCTCATGATACAGTTTTGGGGTCAATGTTATTCGTCTGGCATGCAAATGACACTTCTCGTCTTCTATCATCATCGGTCTTGCCATATGCTGACGATGCCAAGATATAGAGAGAGACGAGATGTAAAGCTTCGAAATTCAAAATGACCTGGAGAAATTATCTGAATGGTCACAAACCGATAAATACTTCTAAGTGCATTGTGATGCACATTGGTCGTTAAGGTAAAGATACATACATCATGAATAACACTAAGCTACCTGTTGTTTAGATAGACAAGGTCTTATGAGTCATCGTTAGTCAAGACTAAAAATAATTACACACCACCGTGCAACAACCGCCAAAGGTTTTAGAACTCTATGGTCAATGCGTAGAGCTTTTAGTCATGTCGACACTAAAACATTTTTGACTTTGAATACAGTATTCGGGAATCCTAAACTTTAGTTCCGCATACAAGCGGTTAGCCGCTGTTTAAAAAAAGACAATGAGCTTTCGAAAAATGTTAGGCAAACAGGAACTAATTTAGATCAACCGAGAGACCATAACTGCCAGGACTAACATAGGCCATCAAACCTCATATCCTTTTAAACTAAAACTGAAACTTCTATGAACACTTGAAACTATTGGACCACCCAACCTTGTGGTAAGGGGCTATATACAAACATGACGGTACCAGCAGAAAATGTGAGGGATGTACTGTCTGTTAGAGGTAAGTTCTAGAGGTTATTCTACCTGCCATTAATAATCAGATGAAGGCAGTTGGTATTTAAAGTTATATTTTGATGTTGCACTGTTGAAACATTAACTTATTGCTTGATGCTATGTCTCTTATTTTAAAGTGACGTTTCAGTTCAGTTATAATTTGTTTTGACCTTAAGACTGTCTGTCGGTATGAAATCCATTTTTCACTAATAAGGATGTTTTCGCACCAAACTCCAAATACAATGGGACATTTCGAGTAGTAAAATTTTCATCTTCTGAAGTTTTTTTTCGGAGAATATGATTTACTGACAAAGCAATGAGATTTAAGGTAGCAGATCTTGGATTTAGGCGCACAGTTCATTCACTCATTCGAATAAATACCACTTTTTAACATGTCAGTTCGTGATGAAAACATTAAATTTAGTCCTTATCCTTATTCCTTACACGAATATACAACCCTCATATAACCGTAGTAGGTAAGAGTACAATTCAGTACCATTTTACCGTTGCTCAAAGGTCATCCATAAATTATAGTCATACCGTATATTCATATTCCCTAAAAGTTAATGCAAAGAAATCCCTATGCATCTAATTTTAACAGGATTCTAAACTCTTTCAATATTGCATGACAATATGTTGATAACTAAGTATAGTATGCCTCCTAAGGATCTGTTTAGGCAACCAATAAATTAAGAATTATATAGGTGTCATCAACAAGTCAGTTTCCCGATCACTGCCAATCATTTATAATATAGGATCTGACATGAAGTGTATTTCTCAGAGATCCCATGCCACATCAGAATGGTAAAATTGAATCAATAACGTGAGTAGCAAAACGTTGAGCAGTAACAATGAGTGAGAAAGTTTACATATTGAAGAACACGATTCAAAAAGAAGAAATTAGTTAAAAGAAGGGATAAATACATTTCTACCATGGTCAGTTCTGGGTCTTAGTAGTCAATGCTACCGTCCATGGGACGCGGTTATCTTATGGATTTTAACCATCTAGTCTGTACCTACCAACACAACTCGAGTTAACAATCTTATAGACTAGTTCCATGTTTTCAATTGAGTGTACTGTCTTTTTCAATTGATGCTATATCTTTGGTTTACTTTGTTGGCTATTATGACAAACCAACGTAGCAGGAGTGTATATAACATGTCCATACTCTGATTAAAGCATAAATAGGTCATTTACTAATTGGATAACTAAATATGTAGTTTTCAGCTTTATTTTCTTTTGTGATACTATCCGACTGCCTAAACTATAATATTTGGAATGAAATCCTATCCTGGGGCTCGATTGTTAGAATATAAGAGCTTTAACCATCAGTTCAATGCTACATTTTATTTGAATCACAGATGGACGTCTTGGCTCATAGGTGGCTTGGGTTCGCGAATTCAAAAGAAGGTTTTTGTATCCGTACTGAAATTTCGTAAGCCACCTGCTCGCCAGTTCTGATAAGACTTCTCAGTTAGTTGAAGTGGTGAATAAATTCAGCTTTTGTACTGTTTTAGAAATGTGACCATAGCTATTACGTTTACAGTAGTTGCAATTGCTCGTTTTGCATTTTGATTCAGCTAGATCGAGTAAAACACCTTTTTTTGTGATTTTCCATGCCATACAGATTGTTTGGAAATCTTCTAAACTAAAAGCATTAAGTTTAAGGCCAGAGAGTGGAGTTGTACTGCCAAATGCCAGATTGCGGTGGCATTCAAGTGTTTTCTACATGCAACTAAAATCTCTTTCCATCTCGAAAAGCCTGAATAAATAGTTCATCCTTCCTTACTTGTTTCCACCTAAGCGTTAAGGCAAACCATCCTGGTTCACGTTTGATTTTCTGGCTACTCAGTAGCTACTCATCATGATCATTGTGTTTGATCGCACAATCCAATGTTAAGTTCAAATTCATAACGGTGCTTACTCACTAGTTTCACCACTGAGAGACATTGGTAATTAAATGCATGTAGTCCTCATGTGGCGTACATCTTTCGTGATTGTAATTCGTAGCTGTATAACATCTAAACACTGTGATGCTAGTGGACCCTAATTTAGTTGTTTTTAGGTACCTTGCGTGCTTCTCGATTAACATATTTCCTCAGAAAGCAATCTGTATTTTAGTATGTGCGTTGATTTTTGTCGTTTGTTAACCTTTCATAGTTGCTAAAACTTTTAAGATAAGTGGTTGTCGTGAATGTCTAGTTTGAAGGTATGTGAAGTAAAAGGAAATTTAATCTTTGTTGATAAAAATCCCATAATAAGGATTCTCACTGGTGGTCTTGATATGATGGGTTTTCACGTTTTAAATGTTCACTACGCCAGTATGCAATGCTGCATCGTGAGTCTGGTTAGACTTCGGTTAATGCGCTTCATAGAAATGGGCTGATTATCCTCCTATCTGTTCATTATCATAGTCTCTTATATATTTCCAGAATACCGTATAAAAATTATCACATTCAAATAAACGAATATGCGTTTCAAATTACTATCATATACTGAAAATTCTGAATCTCGTCAGTGTTAAATTCGTGCTCACGCATACCCAACCTAAGAAATATCAATGTCTTGCTAATTTAGGTTAGCTAAATCACTTATTAAACAGCAAAAATATCTTGTAATATGTAATAGTCAGATAAACTTAAAACAGAATAAGTGTTTTTATATATATATATATCTTTTTTGACTAAAAAATGTTTCATCAGAAAGAAAATACATGAGAAACTACATCATAATCATTCTACTTTTTTGTTTCATTAACTAACTAATAGTGTTATATTCATTGTTGTTGTTCCCATTGTTGCTTTCTGTTTGCTTCAACTAATTGTAATTTATGATATGCGCTGCAGGTTTGTATACAGTGATGATACACTGGTATCAGCAGGATGATGATAATGTCTTGGAAGATTTTTAGTTGACTGTATACTAACATGTTTCGATTGCTTTTCAATGTCAATTGGTGGTAGATACTTGTCACTAGATGATGGTTTTTCTGTTGAACTTATATTACTACTATGATGGACGAGCATTCGAGAGTTATTAGTACCCTTTTTGGTTATTTATATTAGAGTCTGTTAGTGTTCTGTAGAATGACTCCTTTCCTCCTGTTGTTGTTTTCTGAGACCTGTAGAATCTGTAAGCCGATTGATTCTTTTATCACGTAGCTGTTGTGCTATGAATTCCGATGATCTCTTTTTGTTATCATCCAGCAGTGAGTTACTATTGTCGTTAGCAAATGAATCTAAATTTAATTCACCGTCTTCTGATTTAAGTTGTTCACTGTACAAATGCTTAAATTTGTGCTGTCTTGCATTCTCTTCATCATTTTCACAATCTAATTCAATTGTATTTAATGTAAGGATGTTGAAATGATGATTCTTTGAATTATCTAATGTTGTAACAGTACTTGGATGCATTTTCACCATAGTTTCATTGGTTACCATTGCTTTTGGTATTGGTGACTGTTCCACACAAGAATTATCATTACTAATTGTTTTTTCTGACTGGATAATTGAATTTCTGTCGTTTTTAGATAGATTTTTAGTTGCAATAGCTGGTGTCACTGCAATCGCTGCTGCAGCTACAGCAGCAACAGATGCAGCACCGAATTCATGTTGCTTTCCGCCTATCAGAGTAGCCATACAGTTTCTCTCTTCTTCACGTTGCTTTCTTCGATTTTGTACGTAACTTTTTAACCATTTCTACGTTTAAAAAATAGGATAAGAGAAAAAGCAAATGGTTTGTTGAGAATGTTGAGTTCAAAAAATAAGTCTTAATGATACATGTTATCTTAATGTGGATATCTTTATCCTCTTTGAAATTCTAGAATAGCAGCATTTTATTCTTTAGAGTTTTTCAGTCCAGTATCTTTAACTGTATGGAAGTTTATGGGAAGTGTCATATAAAACTGTAACAATGAATAGTTTGCATAATATATCATAGACGCTTTTCTGGTTAACTCAGAATCATGTATAATTTGAAATCTGGTTCAATGGCAGGTGTTTTGTAACTCTATTTCCTACCTAAAATAAAAGCGATAAACGCATCGTATATCTGATACTCATTAACTCTGTCATATTTTTCACCTTTATTCCTGCATAACTTCACATCCCTATCATATACGCCACATTTATTAATATACATTGAGTACACCAGGTTTTGGTTTTAAACAGTTTGAATAAATAAGCAGATTATCAACGGTGAGGTAAAATAATCTCATTGGACATTAAACTTTCAAAAATCTGTGTCCAGGTCTAACTCAAAACATTCAGTTCGCAATTTAATGCCTTATCTGATAACTGTATCACTCTTGATATGGACGAAATCCTCTAATCATAATTTATCGTTGGAGTTTTGGTAACCCATCTCAGGGTTAGACGTTAGTGATTAAACTATCACGACTTTTTTCATAACAAGACGAAGCTAATGTTAAGTACCCACATTCAGTTTCCATAGTTGCTCCAATGGTGTCGATCTATGATAAAACTAGCTTCAAAATAAACAACCTTTACAACTACCTTCCCTCTAGTAAAATAACCATAATAACCACTCTAATTCATCTAATGATAAAACTCTAAATAAAACTCACTTCTACTATTGTAACTACTGCATGATAAGCTAATGGAATAGGTGTAAATAAAACTGTCCACAAAGCTGCTACAGCCGCTAAATCACCTTCTGGTGCATGTACACATGTTCTTAGCAAAGGTATACACAAAAGACCATTGAACACCGAAGCTGCCGTAGATAATGTTCGAGATCTTGCACAACCTTGATTAGTTATTAATCCTACAAGCCAACCAATTGTAAATCCGCATATGTTAAGCGATAATAAGGCAAAAATTAAATTTTGAGTAACTTCATTAAAAGCATAATGATTAATATATACACCTAAAGTCACAAGCAGTATTCCAGATAATAAAAGTAGTGGTCTGGTTATCCATGTTAGAATTGCACGTGCTAAACTTGGTTGACATCCTCTCATTAAAGTTCCTAGAGTTTGTGCTGAA